CCACAAATTCTCCTAAATCACTCGTACGCACAACTTAAGAACAAATCTGTGCGTACGAACGGTTCTTGCATGAGGCCCATTGTTCAAATACCAAACATTTGATGGTCTGTTGTGAAAATTCATCAGTGGTCATGTGACTAATGTGACAGTAACATTGATACAGAACCAAATACAAGCTTGACTGACCGTCTGCAGTCTTCATTTTTTTTTTAATCGGAAAAAAAAGCTGACAATGACTGTTGGATGTTGAGCAAATAAATTGTTGTATTCAGCAAAAATGTGATGCAGACTTTTGTTGGTGAACATCTAGTTTCCTCATTTTCCAAGTAATTAAACATTTTTAAAATGTGTCGCTGGCATCAAAACTAGTACCTGAACGCAATAATAAACTACATACAGATTAAAAACATTCTCCAGTATAAAATATTTTTTCAGCATTTTATGGAAATTGATTTAGTGTTGCATATTTTTCTTTTAAGTTGAATATTTTACTTCTTAAATATGTTTAATATGTTCTAATATAATGTAAAATAAGTTGCATATAGATAACTTAGCTTTCCTGTGCTACAACAGAAGTAAGTTTTAACCAAAGAAATTAACAAGTCGTTTTAATCTGTTTACAGTAAATACTACAACATGAGGGAAGAACATAAAGCCAAACTGTGTCAAGCCAAACAGAGAATTAAGGATGAAATCACGTGGCGTGATGAGAAAATAAAAACTCTCCAGCGAGAACTGTCTTTGTGCTCCCTGTCATTAGCGAAGGTGCGTATGCAGCTTTGTTTTCTACAGGTAAAAAGAAGTTGGAGAGATGGCAGCTGAATTTCAGAAAATCTACATCTCCTTTCTATACAGAGCAAATTAAAGCATTTTTTTATGTTTCTTTACATGTATTTGTCCGACATTAAAAGTACATCATGAAGTAGCCAACAGTCCGTTAATCTGGACTCCACAGGGACAGCGAAAGCTGTTTTTTCAAAGGTGGTTGTGTTTAATAATTAAACAGGAGCTTCTGACTCTATAGGCCATATGTAATTTACAGTTGGAGGTATAAGTATACAAGAAGATGGAAAAGCTGGAGGTGATAAATGATGAATTTTACTTTTTTTGTTTCAGGAGAGAGAAGTAATTATATGCATGACTGTGGAAAATGAGAAACTGCTCTCTGAGAGGCGGAAGCTGTTAGAACAACTGAATAAGGAGAAGCAGAACAGGAAGGAGAGCAGTCGAACAGCTTCTCTGTCCAAATGCAGGTACTGAGGTTGCCCAACTTTACTAAGGAACCAGTTTAAATGTTTTGTTCAAAGAAAGTGTAAGCTTAAATTACCCTATGATGAATATTTTAAAGCTATCGAATTTCATATCTRCATTTGTTTCTGTTATTTTATGCCTCAGACTAATTTGGTCATTTCCCACTGTTGTCATCTCAAGGGTGGATTGTTTGGAGATGGAAAACAAGAAACTGGAAAACAAACTCCTGCTCATGTCCAACCAAAAAGCCACCCTGGAACGCAGCCTGCAGAACATTCAGTTTCTCAACTACGCCGAGGTACTGGTTCATGGTTCAGTTTGCTTTAACCTGGGACACAAATCTGTCATTGATCCAGAAGAATTAAACCTCAGAAGCTGCAAAAAAAAATGATTCTTCACAGTCAAATCTCCTAAATTACCTTAATTTAAGGGAATATGCATTATATAACACAATCCATCCTAAAATTGAGTTTTTAAAGATTGGTAAATTAAGAAAAACTGATCATTGCTAAAGCTTTCAGTCCTTTATCTAAGTTGAAAGAAACTGTTTATTAAGTGGGGTTAAGTCATAATAAGTTTTAAAACATAATATAAAATTACTTGCACTATATTATTATCCCTTTTAATAACAGCCTGTCCTCAAGGATAACAATTGATGGTATTAGATTTGAAGGGTGGGTGGTGTTATCCAATTTCCCTAAAAATATTTTCAAAACACCTTATTTGGGATAATAAAAAAAAACACATCTCAAATGTCATTCTAAGAAATTAGACTGGACCTCCATCAGAAATATTTTCTGTTAGATTTGCATGGTTTTACGGCTGCAACCAGAGCAGACTGAAGCGAGGAGTTTTTAAAATTCTAAAACAAGAAGTTTATTTATAAAACAAGGAGGAAAAAGGCCGGTGTGGCAGCAAACAGATTACACAAACCTAGAGACTTACTAAAAACTGAACCAGGAAAACGAAACAAAAGAAAATGCCAGACTAACTGAAACAGCTTACATGAAACCGTGGGGAAATTAAACTGAATATGCAGAACAAAACTCAAAGACAGATCTGATAAACACAAGAAGCAGAACAGGATACAAAAACAAAAAAAACCCACAACAATGAAAAGGTGAACTGAAATGTGATCTAAAGCCCAAACACCCATGGAAATGCAGAGATCATCGTGTCAGTTATTTAAATTAACATTAACAAAAAGCTGGTTAAAATGTGTTCGAATTGGAAAAGAATATTGTCATTGTGTAGCCAGTGCATCTGTTCATATTTARTAATTAAAACATCTAATATTTGTTAAGATATTTTACGACTGATCTTATTTTCCAAAACTGTCCTACCCACGTTGTTGTCTGTGAAGCAACGGTCTCATTTTTCAAACATGCAAGAGAGAGAGAGAAAAAAGATACATTTATTATTATTTGTTTTTGTTTCTACAGGAACTACAGAAAGTGTCAAATCATCAACAGCAGTTTACTTCTGTCTCAGCTCATCCTTCATGGTAAGTTTAATTTTAGCTCCAAACTCAACTGAAATGCATTTGTTTGAGTAAAAGAAAATTAAAAAATCCATTCTTTCTTCTTCAGGGTAATATCTTCTGAGATTCTGGGCTTATTGGACAGTTCACATAGCAGTGAGACCCAGCTGACAGATCTGAGTTCTTCTTGTTCTTTGAGTCGAACAGCAGAGCTCGGCTACATGAACCTGACGTCCACTCAGAGCCTCTCAGACCACTTAGATGCTCGATTTAACCTTGTCCACTCAAATGTGATTTCCTGAGCTTTTATTTTATTATTCTAAATCATTTGTTCTCTAAGTCAAATTGAAAATAACAATTAAATTGTCTTTTATTAAGGTAAATAGTAAAAAAAAACATTTTTTGGTGATCAAACCTGGAGTTTTAGTACTTTTTTTCATTTTATAAAATGTGGTTAAAAGTAACTGAGTTTGGTCATTTCTCAGCAGTTATAAAAAGATGGTATCACATAAAGGCACAATAAGACTTGCTTCTCTTTGCTGTTCCCCAACAAACAAGCTCTCAGACAAACAACAGTTCACAAGTTTCATATTGGTGATATCATTCAAAATGTGCAGTGAGGCTATTGAGAATTTTCATTAGTGGAGTTAATCATTTTCTTTGCAAAATAGTTTTTTTTGTAATAACTTACATATATTTTTAAATGCAAGCTCCGTCCATCCGTCCATTTTCTGCCGCTTATCCGGGATCGGGTCGCGGGGGCAGCAGTCTAAGCAGAGAGACCCAGACTTCCCTCTCCCCAGCCACTTGGGCCAGCTCATTCGGCGGAATCCCAAGGMGCTCCCAGGCCAGCCGAGAAACATAGTCCCTCCAGCGTGTCCTGGGTCTTCCTCTGGGCCTCCTCTCAGTGGGACATGCCCAGAACACCTCACCAGGGAGGCGTCCAGGAGGCATCCCAACCAGATGCCCGAACCACCTCAACTGGCTCCTCTCGACGTGGAGGAGCAGCGGCTCTACTCTGAGTCCCTCTCGGATGACTGAGCTTCTCACCCTATCTCTAAGGGAGAGCCCAGACACCCTGCCAAGGAAACTCATTTCGGCCGCTTGTATTCGCGATCTCTTTCTTTTGGTCACTACCCAAAGCTCGTAACCATAGATGAGGGTAGGAACGTAGACTGACTGGTAAACCGAGAGCTTCGCCTTCTGGCTCAGCTCTCGCTTCACCACGACAGACCTATACAGCGCCTGCATCACTGCAGATGCAGCACCAATCCACCTGTCGATCTCCCGCTCCATTCTTCCCTCATTCGTGAACAAGACCCCGAGATACATAAACTCCTCCACTTGGGGCAGGACCTCCTCCCCGACCCAGAGGCGGCACGCTACCGGTTTCCGGCTCAAGACCATGGTCTTGGATTTGGAGGCACTGATCCTCATCCCAGCCGCTTCACACCTGGCTGTGAACCGCTTCAGTGAGAGTTGGAGATCACAATCTGATGAAGCCAATAGAGCCACATCATCCGCCAAAAGCAGAGATGCGATCCTAAGGTAACCAAAAAAAGATCCCCTCAACACCTTGGCTGTGCCTAGAAATTCTGTCCCTAAAAGTTTGAATAGAATCTGTGACAAAGAACAACCTTGGCGAAGTCCAACTCTCACCGGAAACGAGTCCGACTTACTACCGGCAATGCGGACCAAGCTCTGGCACTGGTCATACAGGGACCCAACAGCTCGTATCAATGGGCCTGGTACTCCATACTCCCGGAGTACCCACCACAGGAATCCCCAAGGGACACTGTCGAACGCCTTCTCCAAGTCCACAAAACACATGTAGACTGGTTGGGCGAACTCCCATGCACCCTCCAGGACCCTGCTGAGGGTGTAGAGCTGGTCCGCTTTTCCACGACCAGGACGAAAACCACACTGCTCTTCCTGAATCTGAGATTCGACTGTCCGACGGACCCTCCTCTCCAGAACCCCCGAATAGACCTTACCAGGGAGGCTCAGAAGTGTGATCCCTCTATAGTTGGAACACACTCTCCGGTCCCCTTTTTAAACAGGGGGACCACCACCCCAGTCTGCCAATCCAGGGGAACTGCCCCCGATGTCCACGTGATATTGTAGAGTCGCATCAACCAATGCAACCCCACATACAGAGCCCTAACAAACTCCGGGCGAATCTTATCCACCCCCGGCGCCCTGCCACAGAGGAGCTTTTTAACCACCTCAGTGACCTCGGCACCAGAGATTGGAGAGTCCGACCTAGGGTCCTCAGGCTTTGCTTCCTCATGGAAAGACGTGTCGGTAGGACTGAGGAGGTCTTCAAAGTATTCTGCCCACTGACCCACAACGTCCCGAGTTGAGGTCAGCTGCGCACCATCCCCACCATAAATAGTGTTGGTGGCAAACCGCCCACCCGAGACGCCGGATGGTGGACCAGAATCGCCTTGAAGCCGTACGGAAGTCTTTTTCCATGGCCTCTCCGAACTCTTCCCACGCCCGAGTTTTTGCCTCAGCGACCACCCAAGCCACAATACGCTTCGACTGCCGATACCTATCGGCTGCTTCTGGAGTCCCACAGGCCAGAAAGACCCTATAGGACTCCTTCTTCAGCCTGACGGCATCCTTCACCGCCGATGTCCACCAGTGGGTTCGAGGGTTGCCGCCACGACAAGCACCGACAACAACCTTATGGCCACAGCTCAGGTAAGCCGCCTCGACAATGGAGGCATGGAACATGGCCCACTCAGACTCAATGTCCCCCACCTCCCCCGGAACGTGTTCGAAGTTCCCCCGGAGGTGTGAGTTGAAGCTCCGTCAGACAGGAGACTCTGACAGAYGTTCCCAGCAGACCCTCATACGTTTGGTTCTGCCAGGTCTGACCGGCATCCCACCCCATGCAAGCTCTTTAAAGCATATTTGAGAGAGGATGGGTGATGTTTTTTTTCTGTTTCTTTTAACTTTGCATGAGTGTGGCACATATTCTTTTCAGACAGATAAACCGTCAATACAAGCAGTAACAGGTTTTACCTCCTTAAATTACTGCCTAAAGAATGCCACAAACTCAAGTTTAAAAGTTTCCCATCAGAGAACTTAGTATTGAAAGGTTTCATTGCAAAAATATTCTTAGTTGTTATTTAGAAATGACTTATAAAATTTTTTCTCTAAGTTATAAAGTTACACAATTTTTATATTTTTTAAAAAATGATTTATTAAAAAATGTGCAGTAAAGAAACAACACAAAGTTGTATAAATTAAATACTTTGCAGCCAGAGCTGTTTCAAACAAAATAAAACTTTCTGACTGAAAGATAATTTTATTTCCGTACATCAAGATTTAAACCTGGGATTTTCAGTGTTTTTAATAACAAAATACTGTACATCAAGTACAAACTCAGACAAGCACAACATTGTGCTTGTCCGCAAATGGAGCTTCGTTGGAATYATGCAAAATCTAAATGAAAAATTCAAATAAGGATTTGGTTATTCCCATGATATGAGTTAATGTATTTTAGAATACCAGTTCATGTATTCTGAAAGACCTTAAAACAATATATTTCCTAGTTTAGTGGCTGTTCTGTGTTTCATAGAATTTGAACAAAGAAACAAGACATAAATAATTTATTTACTTACAGTCTGTTGATGCATTTCAACTGTAATGTAAGAACAATAAAAAAATAAGCTTTAAGAAAAAATAATTATACAGTATAACAAAGAATCCACTCCATTAAATAGCTGCCTCAGTGTAATACAATGTTTCAAAACAAAAAAGGATTTTCCTCTGGTAAATAAAGGCCATAAAAATTATTCAATTTATATAATTTAGTATACTAAAATGGGAAATGGCTTGCACAGTATGGACTTTATCGAGTCTATGCAGTGCTTTACACTACAATGATACAATCAGTCATTCAACAATTCATACACACATTGACAAATTGGTGGTGGTAAACTGCAGTATTGTATCATTGTTTAATATTAAAATTTAACTCTGGTAAAGCACACCTGTATGCTAATTGTATCGGAGAATGAACATCTTTTTATGTCAATGTTTTAAAACTAAAAAGTGAGAGTAGTATCCCAATAATGATGGTTAAAGACTTTACTATAACAGGAATTTACTTATTTCACAAAACAAATTCACATTCAAAGGTCATTTTATCAAAGTCTACAATTTCTGCAGCTCCATAGTCAGTCAAAAAGAACAGCTAGAAGAGAGGGAAAACCTAAACACTTAACTGTAACTGTTCATAACTTGATGTTTTTTGGTTTAGTTTACAGCATCATGATAGCCTCTGATGCTGATGAAACTTTGGTTTACCGTGTCAAAATGAGGAACCATTTTAATGGCAGAGTTCGACTGCTTGTGCAGCTGGCAGAGCTTTCCATGTGAAGCACAACCCAGTCCACACAATGATCTGATGCAAAAATAACTTTAAAAAACAACACCATAGAAATTCAATTATGCAACTTATAATATTTGTATAGCTTTAGATTAATTTAGATGACTTAAATTCACTCTGGAACAAACTCTGAATTTCCCCCATGATTTGCCAAATAGGGAGCGATTATTCTCATTACTGTCTAAGTTGGATCCACTTAAAAAAAATTCAAACCACATATTTAAGCAAACATTTACTTATCTGGGGACATTCAGATTTTCCTCTGGATTACCACTTCCGCAAAGACATAAAGCACTGGGTTCATTCAAAGCAAGAATGTAAGAAGTTCTTTGAGTATTAACAATTATATTTGATCATTTCATCATTGGGATTTGCGTCGAAATAACACATGGTTCATGACAGAAACAGGATCAAGAGGAACACTTTGGTGTCCTCCTCAGCTGTATTTTCGAGGTCCTGAGGGATCCCAAAACATTCCAAGTCCAGACGTTTTTCTCTAAAATGTGCGCAGTGTGTTGTATTGTTTTGGTGCCCACATTAACCTGAAGACCTGTATGTCACCTCTGTATCCGATCCTGTTGTCCCAACAGTACTCTGGAGAAAGAATCCTGCTTGGTTTGTGAAGCCAAAAATATTTGTTTAGATGACTCTCATCGTGCCACAGAGCCTCCACATTATTTTGTTTGTCCTCCATRATRTTTTGGTAGCAGGYGTCCGTCAAGGCTTTTACACTCTTCCAGGTGCCTCCAAAGACAGCAGCATGATAGTAAAAATCTCCAGTTTCCATGTACGCCTTGGACTTGGGGTTGCGATCGTAGGTAAACATCTTCTTTGGAAGGTGGTAATAGTAAGCATGAAGCAGAGCAACAGAATCTCCCAGAACCTCTGGGCCAAATCTCCAGGTAAATATCTGATCAACATCAAAACAGAAGACGTGCGAGCAATGGTGGCGAATATCTGACTCTATGGTCTCCGAGATTATCTTCATTCGCATCATAGAGATGTCCTGCCACCTGCTGTGTTTCTCCACTTTGATTACTTTCAGAGTTCGTTGTGGGCCGAGCTCGACATTTGGTACTTTCTCAGGAGTGTCCGTGAATACATAGTAGGACACAGGAAGACCCAACATGAAGTGATGCTCTGATGAATTCAGGAAGGTCCAAAGGTAGGCGTCCAAGTACCTTTAGGACAACAAAAGAGAGAGTTGAWGTTATATTGTCCAATTATAATTGATAAAATCTGTAACAGTTGGGTAACCAGGATGCATTTATTAAAGTAGTCAAATGATTCATGTGAAAACAAACCTGCCCACTGCGAACACAGTCAAAGCAACAGAGGATCCTAGTTCTCTGTGCATCTGGTCGTAATGATGAGGATCAAACATTCCTTCCCAAATGATGGGAGCTCTCCAAGTTGTGCATGTTTGCACATCATGTCGAGACCTTAAAGATAACATGACCATGTTAAGATTAAACATGCGATCGTAGGTAAACATCTGCTTTGGAAGGTGGTAATGTTGCTAGGCAGAGACTTCCCAGAATTTGACTATCTCATGAAGTCGTTTGATTTATTCTTTGTCTTTTTTTCTTTATGCTTTATTTCTTTAGTAATTTACTGTTTGCTTTGGCATTAAGAATGTCAGGAGATGAAGCATTTGTCAGAGTTATTTTATCCCATTTGTTCTGCAAACAGCAGCTATGTGGCATTAATATATATATTTTTGACTACCGAGAGGAAGTAGCTGATATCCAAAAATCATACCAGTGGCTAGAAAGGACAACTCAGGGGCGTTAATCAAGATAGAAGAGCAAAAACAGACACAAGGTACAGCAAAGATGCCCCTGAAACAATCTAGAGCAGGGATCATCAATTCTGGTCYTCGAGGTCCGCAGCCCTGCATGTTTTACTTGTTTCTCTACTCCAACACACCTGATTTGAATGAACAGATGATTATCAGGCCTCTGCAGAACTTGGAAGAGGTAATCAGGTGTGTTAGAGAAGGGAAAAAAAGTAAAACATGCAGGGCTGTGGACCTCGAGGACCGTAATTGATTATCCCTGATCTAGAGCATAACAGCAGTGTGCAAGATGCAAACAGATGAAATTCAAGAGCACAATTACAAAATGGCTACAATAGTGGATAATGTATACAGTAGTGGTATAGTGTATATCGGTGCCATATACAGAGGTGGGAGGTGGGAGACCCCATTAATGGCAGGGCTAGTTGTACTGTGGGACTGACAAATCCAGACTGACAAACATGTAATGACCAGCCTATAAAACACTGGTGAACAACAAGCTACAGAAAAAGGCTGCAGCCATAGATGTAGCAACCTCCAATCAAGTCAGAAAGATGCAGCAGCCTGAAACTGAAGCCTGAAAAATTGAAAGAAGATGTGATAATTCGGATTACAAAGGTACCAGTGGTTTTGTAAGAGCTTGAGGTTGGAGCCAATCTCCCAATTTAGGTGTCAATTAAGGAGTTAGTTGATACAGTGTAATCTTACCAAAGATCCAGGCTGGCATCTGCTCTATTATCAAGGATCAGCATTGTTGCGTTTTTTAAATAACACTTGTCCATTGGCAGGAATCCTATGAGGAGACTGATACATGGAAATAAAAAACAAGAAGATTAAAGTCATGTTTATATTTTGAGTGTTTTATCTCAATTTTAATTGTTGATACTGTTATACAACCCCCACTTCCAATGAGACGTTGTATGAAATGAATAAAAACAGAATCCAATTATTTTCATTTTTTTTCCAACCTATATTCAATTGAATACACTATAAAGGCAATATATTTAATGTTTTAACAGGTAACCTTTATTTATTTTTTAAATATTTACTCATTTTGAATTTGATGCCTGCAACATGTTCCAAAAATGACTGAGAAAGCTGAGGAATGCAAAAAACAAAACAAAACAAAACAAAAAAAAACACCTGTTTGGAGCATTCAACAGCTGAACAGGTTAATTTGGAAACAGATGAGTAGCTATGTTTACATGGACCAATCAAAATATTCTGATTGGATTCAGCTCGATGGAAAATATTTTGTAATTCGAATAAGAGGGATGTTTTATACCAATTGATAATAAAGTGCATGTAGGCACTTGTTCTGATCMYGTTATTCTGGCTGTGGAAAACTGACCTGGCTGCACAGGCCTTCTGACTTTMATCCACTGGTTTCTGGTCTTTTGTGGAAGGGGGTTCAGCAGAACACAACTTGTGTTTATTTCCTTTCCATTTTCTCCACCAGTAAGGAAGGAAGACAAATAGCATACGTTGCTTTGCCTGTAACGTCTCCACTTTATTAAAACAATTCAATACGATCAAYAAATTTTGTGAGGGACACAGTGGTAAACATGCCCCTGTTCCAGCATTTTTGGAACATCAAACTCAAAATAAAGAATATTTAAAAAAAAACAGTTTGAACATTAAATATATTGTCTTTGTTTGTAGTGTATTCAATTGAATATAGGTTGAAACAAATTTACAAATCATGTTCTGTTTTTATGTATGTTTTACACAATGTCCCAACTTCTTTGGAATCCAATGCTTATRACATATTCCTGTAGATCAGTGGTTCCCAGCCTTTTTAGACTTGTGTACCCCCTGAGCCATTTTGTCATACCACTAGTACCCCCTCAGTCAAATGTAATGAAGATTCTCCAAAACTATAATGCRCAACAGCTTTAAATGAAAATTATTTATTTAACCCCCTAGAASAGGRGTCTGCAACCTACGGTTCTGAGGCCACATGTGGCTCTTCAGTCTCTCAGCAGTCGCTCTTTGAAAATGTGACCAAACATAACAGAATAATGTTTTTGTTGTTGTTTGATGTTTTTTTAATACTTAAAGTAAAACCTGTTAGCTCATTACACACAACAAATAAACCTGTTAGCCTGTTGTTTATTTAAATAATCCAAGCTCTTTCTGTGACTTTTCTCTCAAATCCACCAGGGTTATCTTTAAATACCTTTATGACTACATAATAATAAGAATTAGAAAAAACACATGCTCGAGTAGTTCAGTTGTACTAGTTTTTATGAAATTCGGAGTAAACTTTATGCAGTATTTTTCTTGTTTACATGAATCTGGTCTTTTTATTTTTCCTGATGTGTAAAGATAATAATAAATAATACAATTCACAATTCAGTTTTATAATGTCACCTCCACTGGTCGTAAAGTTTCCTGGAAAGGCCTCCAAAAGGCCCACAGACCACCAGTTGATAATCACAGTTGCAGCTTGTTTTGCAGCTCTGGACACGTTTTATTAGTGAGACAAGCAGCAGAAATGGCTCTTTTGATTGTAAAGGTTGCAGACCCCTGCCCTAGAACATTTAATTCTCATGCATTTTATTATTTTCAACTCAAATTAAACACATTGCCTTGAAAGTGAATAAGTAATTAAATAAATAAACCTGGTAATGGCAGGTGCAGGAAGCAGCAGCATCCAAAATACATCAAATACCCCAAATGAGCAAATTCTGTGAGATTCCGCGTTTTATACAGGATTCCATTTTGTGTCAATTTCGTGACTCCATCTGTATTTTCTGCATTGTGKAAATCATAGTGTCCTACATGTCCCAGTCCTATTTTTATTATTTTTTCCACACCTGGGAAATTTTTCCATGTACCCCTTGTAATATGTTCACGTACCCCAATGGATGCACGTACCCCTGGTTGGGAATCACTGCTGTAGATTATGTGCAGGTTTATATGAGCACTCACCGCACAGTTGGAGCTGTGTAGTAAACGAYGCAATATGCGATCGAAAAGCAAAACATGCATTTCAAAATGTTCCTCGTATTCCTCAGAAAAAAACACCTGCAAGGCAACCAGCAGTCCAAATTWAAAACAAACATTCAGAGGTCAACACAAACAATGCGAGAACAAAACGTCAAAGGCAGGGGGATATACCTCATTGTTGGTGGTCTGGCATCCACTTTTTTGGCAAACATTTCTAGCAGATGAAGATTAAAAAACAACGTGATACCTCGAGGAAAAGAGGAAAATATGTTTTATTAGTTCAAGTGTGCACAGCTCTCTAAACACTAAATCTACCTAAAATGTGATTATTGGTGAGCTTCAGTTTATTTCAGTATGTTCTGGTGTTGATAATATCAAAAATAGCAGCTCTAAGACCTGCACAACAAACATAAAAGACCTTGGTTTCCCTTATTGTAGCAGCTGTTGCTTATCCCAAAATTTCACTGTTAGAACACTGTTGCGGCTTTAGCATCTATATAAGAAACTCTTCAGCACAACAACAGTGCGATCATTGTTACAAAATTCATTTAAATGATGGGCAAGAATCTGAGGTAGTTCCTGTCTACGCTTAACATCAACCTAATGTCCAAATTTTAAGGCAAAGATGAGTCAAAACTTTTATTTATTTATTTATTTATTTTTTTTACAAACAATGCAGCTAAAGGGGGAGTCTGGCAAAGGTGTGCTTGTTTACAGGCAACATAGGAACACAGCATGCTGCAGTGGCTTCTTTGTTTCTGAATAATAAATTAAAGTTAAATGAAAAGATCACCAACAATGTGCTTTGATAAGCTACTTTAACAACAACTTGACTGATATTTGAGGAGAGAAGCACTGCTTCATCTACAAGCCCAGTTTAGGTTAATGATGAGGAGGAACCAATTAGATGTTTGATTTATTTCAGGATGAAAAATTCTATCAGAGCACACGGATGCAATATGTGACACAAAAGATAGCTCACTGATATCAGACTAATTTCTATTTTTAACAAGTAAAGAAAAGGAAGGCATGAAAAAGGAAAGATAAGTTACGTCACAACACAATTTGATGCCACAATTCAGAAGCAACATTTGTCACAATAAGGAGAAACTGAAAGATTGGCAAAATGCAACTGACCTCCAGACTTTTTCCTCACAGCTAATTAATTTTGTTATACTTCTCACAATTTCCACTGAGAACTAACTTCAAATAAACCTCATTATTAAAGCAAATGTGCAGTTTCATTCCTATGTAACTATGAAGTTGATGCAACAGTCACCTGAAAATTCAGTTCATGGACTTTTAAATATGTTTAGCTTTTCAAAACTTTTATTTAGGCAGGTAATCTCATTGAGACGTGGTCTTATTTACAACAGACCTGAATTTCAAGAAGATGGAGCAGAACAGGAGAGGACCTTTTTTTCCAAGTTCTGTGTGAAGTGATTGGACGGTGATTGGATTAAAATCTTGAGAGCAAAGGCCAAGTCTGTACTGTCACCCAGAGTTTAAAGTAAATCAAAGGATTTGAAAGTGATCGAGGGAACAATAACAATGTAAAACAAAAAATACAGATTGTATCTTGTCACCAGCGACGTGGTGCTGATGAATGACGAATGATCCGAATCTTTTGAACGGCTCTTTAAAACGAACAATGAGAACTGAGTCACAGACAGCTGAGACACATTCTTTTTCTTTTTTTCTTTCTCCACCTCAGATACAGATACACACAGGATCCTCTTTTTGTCCCCCCGAGACAAAGAGCAGGTAAAGGGGAAGGAACGCAGCAGTTGATGTGATTTGCAAACATGAGGCCAGGAAAAAGGGTGTGTGAATGAGTCACGCAGGGTCATAGAGCATACGTCTCTTTGTAAGCCTAGATGTGACTACGACCTGCAGGTAGTGTCAAACACCGACCATATCCTGTTGAAAAATTAATGTATTCTTTGAAAGGASCGGATCCACAAGACAAGGTTTCCCTCAAAAATTCAGCAATCTCACCTCAATTGTCACAGCAAGTTCTGAGTCAAACTGCACAACAAAACGCTTCTGCACATTTAAAGAGAATACAATACTGATCTTCTTTGGCCGTGAAGAAATGAAAGGAATGCATATCATTTGCTACCTTTTGTTCTATACATTTAGAGACAAATAAAATCATCTTGTGCTAAAAAAAAAAGTCTTGTAGCCATTTTCGATCGACTCTTGAAAATAACGTGCGCAACTGTGCATTAATGTGAACTCGTTCCACGCCTAGTTTTATGTCAGTAGTTGTAAAACTGACGGAGGTACACCCACACTATTACTGGATGAAGTTGAATTGGGTCGATTAAAAGTCATTAGTAAAACCAGTAAAGATTTTTAAAAGTTTTATGAAAATATTTCCCCTGATTCGTTAGACGTGAAGGTAAAACTATTTTTGAAGTGTTTTGCCAAAAGTTGAAAATGTGATCGCTTATTGACTTCTTTTTAGTTTTACTACAGGTCGTTGCTTAAATATTTTCAATATTTTCAAAAATTTTATTATTTTCTTTTATATTAGAAGCTTAAACTAATTGACAGTTAAGTAAGACTGAGGAGTGAGAACTTTACTCTGGGTAATCAGTTCAAATTATTGCTGCTTTAAAATTGTGGTTGGATTTAGTTCCGAATGAAAAAAAAAGTAAACCAAACAAGACTTGCTGAGTAAATGTTTTTGATCACTTCTGATCTTTGATTTTGCTTTTATTTGTTAGGATAAAAACATTAAGTTTTATCTATTGAACAAGAGATGCATTGAAATAAATTAGTTTCTTTTTTTAATTGTTGTAGTAAGTTTTGTTTTCAAAAAAATAGCAAATGACACATATCAATAACTGCATTAATAAAGAATAACCTTATGATATGTAAGGGTCAGCTTACACTTCTTATAACAAGGTTATAAGAGTAATTTAATTAGCAAGGATCTCTTTTATTTTGGCTAAACATTTCTTTAGTGCAAGAATGAATGGACACAAAAAGTAACTCTCAGTCAGTGAATGTTGATTTCAACCATAATATGTGATCATTTGTTTTACAAGTCATACAAAATTGACTATAGAGTACACCTGATTGTGAACAATTAATTTCCTTTAAAAAGTTTTGGGACCAACAATAACAAGCTTTTAACTTCTTAATTGTTAACCACACAAATAGAAACACAAACATCAGATTAGATGTTAAACACCAGACATTTGAGGCTGTTTATCTTAGGAGTTGGCAAGGCAAGGTTAAGAAAAAGGTTGAAGAAAGGTGTTAGCTTTTCTACTCTTTATCTTAAATAATGTGGTTTTAACCAGAAGGGCGAAGCGTTCTGTGCTCAGCTTCGGTCAGACCTCGACGTCACACACTGCCAGCTTTTACCTTGAGATGATGTTCTGTCACCTGCCAGGTAGATGGGGGCGCTGCCGGAGAATCTGTCTTTAGACCGTCGAACAGGGAACCCCAAGGCGTGCTCTTTGACTCGTTTACGTCCACATCAGCCGTAACCAAAAGACAAGGCCTCGACTGGAACCCAGGATGTAAATAAAACTTCAGTCTGGAGAGTTTCTGACGGTGGATAAACCAGGCGTGGTTTTCCACACTGTGAGGTTTCCCTGTTGGCGTGAAGGGGCCAAACCTGACATAGTTTCAGCTTTTGATTCCCCGGAGAGAATCTAGCTGTCACCTTTTTCTCACTCTCTTTCTTTTCTCTGTCTGACGGGCGGAAACTGTTAGTTCCTAAAAGCTCAGAGAATCTATGGTCCGCCCYCCAGAAGGTTAGATTAGAAAAAGAAATTATCATGAAAAGTGTTAGTTTCAGAGCTCGCTGTGCCCTCCTGAAACAAAACAACGATTTTTTGCTGCTGCTGTGTGGTTCAGAACAACACATTTCATGACCCATTTAAATCATCTGATGAGTACTGTTTAAAACATAACTGAAAGAAAAACGAATTGCTTCAAGTTCAAAACATTTGCAAATATGATTCAGACAAGTAAAACATTGATATTTCATCAACTTAAACCATAAAGATTATTTTAGTTAAATAAGAATTTTTTCCACAGAAAAACCATAAATAGCTGAAATCATACTGAGGGAGGAAAGAGATCTGTCCTCTCTTCTCCTGTAACTTTGATAAACATTCTCTGATTATCAAAATGTGTAATACTTTCAGTTAAGAGAACACTAAATCAAATAAGAGAAGATTCTTCTGTTTTTAATCTGATTTAGAATCTGATTTTAGAGTCCAAGACAGTTCCTTGATAATTTGACTCGAGGTGACCCCTACAGATAGTTCTGTTTTCTCCTGACTGAATTTTAGATTTTGTGACCAAAAGATTGAAGAGATAAATTAATCATACCTTATGTTTAATATGAAATTTAGTCAAATCTATTTTTACCTACCTGTAAGTCTTTTTCATCCTGAAGGGTCCATGTAAGCAGTGTAAAACCTCCAAGTTTAAAACTTCCAACTCCAAACAGCTACTTACTGAGTGAGCCACATGCTCCTCCTGTGTCCAACCCCTCAGTATACCCCCTCCCTGAGCCAAATGCAAATAAGCTGAAAGAGCTTGTAATTACAAGCATGACTTGTCACCTCCTGGCATAAATCGATTTAAAAGGAAAACCCTACCAGTTGTTCTGGAGGATGTTGGGTCAGTCTACATGTTTTCCTGCGAGTTGCTCTCTTCGGGTCTGTGTTCATTTTGCCATTGCAGGCAGTAGTCGTTGAAAAACAGAGTAAGAAACCAGTCGAACGAGTAAATGGAACAGGCTTCCTGGAATGTCTGAGTTTCACCTACGAGAGCAACTCAATGGCATCATCTTCTCACCTGCGCGACAGCGTACTGCACTGGCAGATTTCACTTGTTTCAAGTATTCATTTCTCTCATTTTTGCTGTAAACTCGAACCCTTAGTTCACCCGTTCCCAAACATTTCTTACTCTCAAAACAACAATGGCTAACACTATAACACCAAATACAGTATCTTTTGTTAAATGTAGCAAATTTTCCCATGAAAAGTATAGTGCATAAGAACAAGTGTATTTTTTTAGGAATTAAAGAAGAAAAAATAAAACCAAGAAACTTTGTTTAAAATTGGTGATTTTGGTAAAAAAAAGTAAAGAAAAACCAAAAATCCCTATCTCAAAAAAAATTAGCATATTTCATCAAAAGTTTCTCTAAACGACTTATTAACCTAATCATCTGAATCAACAAATTAATTCTAAACACCTGCAAAAGATAACTGAGGCTTTTAAAAAACTCCCAGCCTGGTTCATTATTCAAAACCACAATCATGGGTAAGACTGCTGACCTTACTGCTGTCCAGAAG